GGATAATTAACTTAAACCTCACTTAGTTCCTTAATAAAGACTCAATAAATGTCAACTGTTACCAGAGCAGAAGAAATGGAAAGTGTTCAAATACATTAGGGAGAAAAGTGATGACAGAAAAGTCTCTTTAAATACCAACATAATGTCACAAGTGTCAGAGATCCATTTACAGACTTTCATCAACTTGAAGCTATACAAATATTGTACGGACAGAGAGGTGACTGGGGAGCGGCAACGGGGGGCGTGCGGGGGAGGCAAACCCGCTGTCCTTCTACTCCCAGCTCACTTTGAACAGCCATCTTCCTTTGTCACCCTCTTCTTCCTAAAGCAAGATACAGACCTTGACAGGAGATACCAATCCAATGGGCTGCAACAGCAGACAGAGCCAAACACGACAGGCTGACAATCGCTCTCTAAAGGTAGGATGATGTAAAATCCCTTAAACTCACTATGTAACCCAGGCTGGCCTCAAATTCAAAGCAATCACCCTGCCTCGGCCTCCCCAATGATGGAATTACAAGACTGAGCCATCAAGCCCAGTATGATATGAACTTTGTTTGTTTGAGACATGTAATGAAGCCTGTCCCAGACCTACTGTATAGGCAAGAATGATCCTGAATGCCTGATCCTCCTGCCTCCACCTCCCAAATGTTAGGATTACAGGCATGCACCACCACACCCAGTTTTATAAGGTACTGGGAACTGAACTCGGGAATTGTTCTATGTGAGGCAAGTACTCTACCAACTGAGCTACACTGCCAGCCCCATGACATGGAATGCTTAATCACATGGCTATCTCAAGATCACATGAAAAGCACTGATCCAGAAGACACAAGAGCCTTCCCCTGCATATTCAGTGTATATAAAACAATTTCCCAGAATTTCCCAGTCCTAATGGGACAAATCAAAACTGACTCACACAGAGCGGTGTTTCTGTGTTGGGCTCACTCCAATAGTTATCCAGGTTAGGTATACAATCGTGTGTGCTGTGTGTATCTTGGTCATGGGGTAAGATACCTTGGAAAGTTTAAAAGAGCTCTTAGGTAAGAGGTGAAGAAAAGAAGGCTGAACCTGTCTCTTCCCTTGTAAACAGTCTCCATTCCTCCCTTGTCAATCTTTTTAAAATTAAATTTCTTAATTATTATTTTCCTGTGTATATATGTGTGTGAGAGACAGAGAGAGAGAAGGGGGTACATACGTGCAGGCAGGGCAGAGGTGCTGGGGTGATGGGATGGCAGGTGTGCAAATGACTACATCCAGATATTTTTACAAGAGATCTGAGGATTTGAACTCAGATCCTCATGCTTGCACAGCAATCACTCTTAGCCCCTGAGCCATCTCTCCAGCCCCACTTCCTTTGTGGGTCTTTTTCTTCCTCCCTCTTTCTCCTTTCTAAAACTAGTTTCCTCCTCCCTTAAACCCTCTCTTTTGCTCTTCTTCCTTCTTCCATTTCATTTTTGTTTTGAGGCTGACTGAAGTATGTTTTCTTTGAGCAAATATTTATGTATCAAGTACGCACACCAGGTACTATCCAGGAAAACAAAGGTGACACAGACACTTACCTAGTGTCATAGGCCTTTAATATGGTGAGGAAGGCAGGTTCTTCAATAAGCAATTGGGAAGGGGTTGCTTAAAAAACAAATCATAGAATGACCGTTTTTCTATTAAGGAGGAAGGAGGAGGAGAAGGGGGAAGGGGAGGAGGAGGGGGGGGAGGGGAGAAGAAGAAGAAGAAGAAAGCTGGGCCTGGTGGCTCCTGCCTGTAATACGAGCACTTGGAGGCTAGGGCAGGAGAATTACAGAGAACTTGAGGCTAGCCTAGGCTACAGAGTGAGACACTGTCTCAAAACAACCAACCAAACCAAAACAATAGTTAGGAGGTCATAAAATGGTTTTCAGGAATAGTCATATTAAGTCGAATAATCAGATGTTAAAAGCCTTTTAAAATCACAACTAAGGGCTAAGAATATAGTTCAACTGGTAGAGTGCTTGCTTAGCATGCACAATGCCCTAGGTTTAATCCCCAGTACCATATAAAACTAGGCATGATGGGCCGGGTATCATGTAGCACACCTGTAATCCCAGCATTAGGGAGGTGGAGGGAGGAGGATTGGATGTTCAAGGTCATCTTCAGCTACACAGTGAGTTCAAGACCCTATCTCAAAAATATGACAGGTAGGGGAGGGAGGAGGACTAGGCTGAGGCAAGTTGGCACTCCAAAGGCCGAGGAAAGAGAATAAAAAATCTAAGGCCTGCCTTGGCTACAGGGTCAGTTCAAGGCTAGCCTGGTCAACTTTGTGAGACTCTGTCTCAAATACAAAGTAAAAAGATGGCTGTGGATGCAGTTCAGTGTTAGTGCACGTACTTAGCATAGCATGCATCAGGTACTAGGTTTAATTCCCAATTGTGTGTGTGTGAGAGAGAGAGAGAGAGAGAGAGAGAGAGAGAGAGAGAGAGAGAGAGAGAGAGAGAGAGGAGAATGAGAAAATATGAGAGTGGGGGAAGGGAGGGAGAAGCCTCCTGATTATTTTACTTGAGGCCAATCATTTTAGACCAGAAAGAAAAAGACATACAAAGCAAAAATTTTACTGGCTTCATATCTAAGTGTTACCTAGAGGAGCACAAGAGCTTGTGAAAATGCAAACATACTTTATAGAAACAAAATCTTTACTGGTTCCTTATCTCCTTTCTACAAACACTAAGCAACTGATTGAATCTGTAGATTCCTCACTCCAATTTCCAGTCCCTGAACTTCAGTTTTATTTTCTCGGTGTTGTTAATGTCAATACACTTTTTTAAAAAATCTGAAACAGTGAAAGTTGAACTACACAGCCTAGGCTGGCCTCAAACTTCTGATCCTCTGGCTGCCACCAACCTTCCAAGTGTGAGATTATAGGTGTGCATGACCAGACTCATCAGTTTAACCAAAATATGGTATATTTACATAATGTGTACAAGAAAAATCTGGAAAGAAATCAAATATTGGTATGCCTTGAAGCTGGGTGTATGTAGCTCCATGGAGAGTACCTACTGGGCATGCGCGAGGCCCTAGTTCAACTTGTAGAACACCCCACAAAAACTGGTACACTTAAGTTATGTAAGGGCTGGTAGTAAGAGAAAATTTCAGGAAGAGTTTAGTGACCTTAAACAAACAACCAGACTTCTTTCAACCAGCAAGACAGGCAAAAGTGTGCCCCACATGACCACCTTGAGCTCAAATGTGCCCTGAGATGGGTCATACTTATCAACAGTTACTTCTGACCACTGGTTGATGCCCCTGGGACAACATCTCTGAATCATTTTAGTATCTTGCATACATAACTGCTTGCAGTCTGATAAATATGAGTTCATGTTTATACCATAAATTGCACAACAAATGCTGAACATTTTAAATAACTGGAACAAATCCCCAAACAAGGCAGAAGTGCTTCTATAGTGAGTCACAAGATAAAAGAAAAACAGAGCCGGGCATGGTGGCACACACCTGTAATCCCAGCTCCAGACACAGAAAGAGGAAAATGGCCACTAATTCAAGGCCAGCCTGGGCTATTGAGTTCCAGACCAGTCAGGACTCCATGGCAAGACCTTGTCTCAAAAACAAAACAAAACAAAAAACATAAAATAAAACAGAAAAAGAATTAAAAGAAAAGAAAAAAATAGAAAAGAAAAAGAAAATGCATTAGATGTAGACCAATTCTTTCTGTAGGCAGTGGTCGACTTAACACTCTGCTCAAATGACAGAGAGGCCTCCAGGAGTGCTGGTCACAGTTTACAGACCTCTGAGCCCAGGGGAGGAAAGGCCCACACTGTGGCAGAGGCTTGTTTCCCTATGGATACCCAAACTTATCCTTCCTCCCCAGTAGCAAAGCCCCACTTTACTGAGGGCAGCCACGCAGCCAGCGGTGCTCCTCTGCTTCCTGGAAGGATGTCTCCAGAGACAGGAGGCATTCTTCTTGGTCTTTGCCTTGCTGCCTGGACCCTTCCTGCAATGGTTAGAGGGAGATCTGGCAGCTAGCCTGGACTTTGAGAACTAGGGTCATACCTTAGGGACAGCAGACGGTAGAACTAGATCAGGTCTCTGCCTACTTTATAAGCCCCTCTGCCTCTCTTACTCTGTTTACTTCAGTATTATTTTAGGGACTGGAGAGATGGCTCAGTGGTTAAGAGCACATACTGCTCTTGCAGAGGACCCAAGTTTGGTTCCCAGGAGCCCTGTCAGATGCTCACCACTGCCTATAACTCCAACTCCAAAGGATCCAATGCCTCTGGCCTCCTCGAGTACCCTGGCTCACAAATCACACCCCCCATACACACATACATACACACCCCCATACACACATACATACACACCCCCCATACACACATACACACACACACACACACACACACACACACACACACACATACACACGCACAATTAAAAATAAATCTTTAAAAACTAGTAATTACTTTAAGGCAGGCCTGGTAATGCATGTTTGTAATCCCTTCACACAGGAGGCTAGGGCAGCAAAATTGCTGCAGTCAAGGCCAGCCTGGGCTACACAGTGGGTTCTAAACCAGCCTGCGTTACACAGTCTGACTCTGTCTTAACCTCCTTTCCCCCTAAAAAAGAATTACTTCAAATGAGAAAATAAATACTGTGTATTTAAGGTCTGTTTTGGGGTTGTTTTTTGTTTGTTTGTTTTCCGTCCCAGTTTATTATTGGTGATAACTGTTGTTTTTGTTTGTTACAAGTTCTTTTTTTTAACATTTTATTTATTGTTTTTATTTTATGTATATGAGTGTATTGCCCACATGTGTGTAAGTGCACCCATGTCGTGCAATGCCCACAGAGGTCAGAAGAGGGCATCGGATCCCCTGGAACTGGAGTTACGGACAGTTGTTAGCTGCCATGTGGGTGCTGGGATTCGAACCCAGGTCTTCTGCAAGAACATTCAGTGTTCTTAACTGCTGAGCCATCTCTCTAGCCCCACAAAAGACAATTCTTAACTGAGCACTTACCTTCAGACTAAAGGGGTTTGTGTGATTTTTACAGATGAGGCAACTGAGATCCAGGAAGGTAAGATGATAGACAACAGGAAGCTGGTGAAGAGTGGGTCTTGGCTCCTAGTCCTTGAAAAAAATTGACTCTTGGGTTCTAAGTATAAAGAGAGGGAGAGAGAGAAACATATTAACTAGACAATGAATTATAAATGTATCTTGATTTGATGGGAGTAGTATGCAACAGTGTATGCACTTATATACACAGTATGAATTAGTATGAAAGAAGTATCAAATTTTTATGACCTGAGCCTGGCCTGGAGGCACAGGCCTTTAATCCCAGCACTGGAGAGGCAGGGTGTATCAATTACTTTTTTGTTGCTTTTTTGTTCATGTGATCATGACCAAGGGAACTTATAAAAGGAGGAGTTTATTTAGCTTATGGTTCTAAAGGGGCAAGAGTCCATTATGGTAGGGAGGCATGGAGGCAGAGGTGGCTGGAGGAGACGCAGAAGCTAAGCTCTCAGATCTTCAAGCAGGCACAGGAAGCCCTGTCTCAAAACAAACAAACAACAACAACAACAAAAACAGAAAACAAATTTTTGTGACATGGCAGGACTCTAATGATAGATATTCCAGGGGAAAGGGGATGTATGAAATAAAGAATCAGAGACCAGCATAAACAAATACTGGTTTATAATGCCCAAGTTCTATTACATTGATCCCCTCTTTACCACGAGAATTCAGATTAAATATTATTCTCAGGAATGACACTCTAAGAACAGGGTAACTTTCCCTGTTAAACTCTCAGTTGGGAAGCCAGGCGTGGTGGCCTACGTCCACAATCCAGCATGGGGTCGGGGGTGGGGGAGGCAGGAGGTCATGGTCATCTTTGACTGTAATAGTGAGTTTGAGGCCAGCCTGGGTTACATGAGACCCTGTCTCAAAAATAAATTTAAAAATTACAAAATTCCTAGCTGGAATTTTTCTTTATACTTACCATTACTTTAAAAAAAATTTAATTTGAGAACGGTCAGGGGCTCAATGGGTAAAGGTGCTTGCTACCAAGCTTGACAAACCTGAGTCCCATCCTCAGAACCCATATGGTAGGAGAGAACCAGCTTCTGAAAGTTGTCCTCTGACACATTTAAGCTTAAAACAATCTTTTTTAAATTAATTTGATCCCAGTTTGTCACAGATAACAATTTTTTATTATTTATGTGTATGTGTGTGCCTGCCTGTCTGTATATGCACCATCTATGCATAAGTGTCAGTGGAGGTCAGAAAAAGGTGTCGGCTCACCCTGGAACTGGAGTTACAGGTGGTTGTGCACCATGCCATCTGATGTGGATGCTGGGAACTGAACCTGGTGCTTTTAACTGCTGAGCCACCACTCCAGCCCACCATGTATCAAAATCAATGCATTTCAAAGCTTTTTCTGAAAACTCACTATATAATAGAAGACAGTGCATGTGCAAACTCGTCATGAACTTAACTATTTCCATGTAGTCTTCAAGGAAAACAAGCAAGTCAATCTCTTTGAATTTTAATAGAGAACTTTTTTAGGGTATACTCACTATAGGATTATCTAGGTAGAGGAGTGAAGGACCTGCATAATGCAGGTCACATTTCACAAAAACATATGAGGTTATTAATACAGCAGGATTAAAAAAATATACAAAGAAACAGCATTTTGAATTCTAATCTGTCTCATTTAGTTACAAGCTACTTGGGTTTTTTTTTCCCCCCCCTCTGGTGCTGGGTATTAAACCCAGGGTCTCATGCATGCTAGTCAAGAGCTCTACCAACAAGCTATATCCCCAGTCCACCACTACCTATAAAACTGAACTAACCTAGGAATTATAACTCCACCAGTAATTTCAGAACTCAGGATGGTGAGGCAGAAGAAATGCCATGAATTTGAAGCTAGCTAGCCTCGGCTACATAGTGAGTTCCAGACCAGCTTTGGCTATAGAGCAAGACTCTGTCACAAGTAAACAAAAAACAACTAATACTTCTTTATAGGTTTGTTGGAGAGATTAATATAAACAACAGTGTATGCTCAATAAATACCAACACCCTTCCTGTCTTGAAGATACAAGCCAAGCATGGTGGTACAAGCCTGTAATCCCAGAATGCGGGAAACAGAGACAAGAGGATCATAACTTTGAGGCCAACCTGGGCTACATAGAAAGATGCTGAAAAATAAAAGTTAGGCCTGATAGCACACACCTATAATGCCAGCACCTGGTTAAGTGGGAAGAAGGAGACTCAGGTGATCAAGGCCAGCTTTGTCTACATAATGACTCAGAAGCCAGGCTGGGATATTCTACATAATGAATCAGAGACTCTGGCTTTTAAACACACACACACACACAAACATAAAAACAAAATGTATTTCCTATACGTGAAAATCTGGTCCATAAATAACAAAAGTAATAGATTTTAAAAGTGAAGCCAGGGACTGGAGAGATGGTTCAGCAGTTATAAGAGCTTGCTGCTCAACCATGAGGACCACATTGGAATCTCAGTACTCACATCAGGCCACTCACAAACACCTGTTAATGTCCATAATTAATAACTACTGATTTGAAAAGTGCCCTGTCTTATTGTGATTTCATTTCAACTAGTGTTCGCTGAGCACAAACCAATTTGGCAAAAAACATGACACACAGTTGTAATCCCAGCACTTGGGAGGCTAAAACAGAAGGAAAACTGCAAATTCCAGGGGAGCCCGGCTACATAGTGAGCCCAGGGCTACATCCTGTCTAAGAAAAAAAAAAAAAAAAAGGCAAGTAGGAGGGGTTGGAGAAATGGGGTCTGGGAAAATGGCTCAGTTGGTACAGTGCTTGCCACATAACCCTATGGACCTGGGTTTGGCTTCTCAGCACCCACATAAAAAGTCAGACATGGTTCCATGCCTGTAATCCCAGCACTGGGGATGCAGGTCCCTGATACTCCTTGGCCAGCCAGTCTAGCCAATCAGTGAGCTCTAGGTTCAGTGAGAGACCTAATCTCAAAAAAATAAATTGGAGCAGGGCATGGCAGTGCACGCCTTTAATCCCAGCGCTTGGGAGGCAGAGACAGGCAGCCTGCCTGTTCTACAAAAACAAAAACAAACAAAATAAGGTGGAAAGTGACAGAGGAAGACACTTGATGTGGACCTCTAGACTACACATGCTCACACCCACACATACATACACCACTCACACACACACACACACACACATACACATACACCACTCGTACACACACACACACACACACACACACACACACTGTGTGATATGAACAGTAAGTACCTTGAGAGAACAGAGAAAAGTAAACACAGCAGGGCCCGACCCCCCCCCCAGTGGGAGGTGGGTTAAATTAGGAGATCTAAAGAGCAGCATGTGTAACCAACAGGAAGCAGAACTGGGTTTTTACATTTTTCTTACATTTATTTATTTATTTGTTTGTTTGTTTGGGGGAGGAGAAATGCATGCCATGGGCAAGCGTGTGGCAGTCAAAGGACAACTTTCAGGAGTCAGTTCTCTCCTTCAACCATATGGGTCCCAGGGATCACGCTCAGGATATCAGGCTTGGTGGTGAGGCCTGTACCCACTCACTGAGCCATCTCGATGGCCCCCTGAAATGAATTTTTGACTCACACCAGACAGATCAAATGACAGAAAGTCTGAAGACCAAGATGAGAATAAAAGTTTCTGTGTTCACTTAATAACCAGAGGACTATTATTTGAGTTTGCTTCTAATTCTAAATTTCCAAGATTTTAATGTTTGACCCTATTGTGTCAGCTGAGGAACACGTGTTAGAACTTTTTTTGTCCAAAATTTGAATTGGCTCAAGCTTTATAAAACAGTAACTCACAACTGAGATGAGGACGAATCCTAAGGCAATTTCTATGAAGAGTAAAGTAAAATAATTTGCATGGTACCAGAATCCAATTATTTAACAAAATCAACCAGGGAGACCATATGAGACAAGTTTAACAGCCACAGGCTGTCTGACCCAAATGCATCGCACTGTCAGTCACTACTTGTAGCCATTTGATTTTTGGTTTGTTTGCATGTTCTTTTTGAGAAAGGGTCTCCCTGTAGCCCCAGCTGGCCTGGAACTCACTATGTAGACCAGGTTAGCCTTGAACTTACGGAGATCCCCCTGCCTCCGCCTCCTGAATGCTGGGATTAAAGGCATGCGCCATCTCATCTAGCATTGTAGCCAATTCTTTAAAGCAACTATCTCAACATTTTAAACTTTCCTATAGGGAAAGGCCACAAACAAAACTGGCTATAAGAAATATTTGCATTTAAGCCGTGTTCGTGTGTGTGCACATGTGCGTATGTATGTGTGTGTGCATGTGTGTACGTGTGCGTGTGTTGCTGTTGCTCAGGCTGGCTCAATTCACTAAATTCGGGTGATCAAATGCTCCTTCTGCCTCAGGCTCCCCAGTAGCTGGGATTGTGTGAGTGTGTGAGTCACCATCTTCCTCTGCTTTTTTTTAAACCAAGGGTTTTTTGGTTTGCTCGGGTTTTCTTGGGGTTTTTTTTGTTTTGTTTGGTTTGGTTGGTTTTGTTTTGTTTTTTAAGGTTTGGTGTTCATTTTATTCAAACATGGATTTAAAAGAGCCTTAAATAAGAAGGTTAGCTAGTAGCACTTAGCATTCAATTTGTATGAAAAGCACATTAGCCAATGTAAGTCCGGTAGACAGAATTTCAGAACGTTGCTCCTCATAAATCATCAGAGCACGGTTCCTGTCCATTTTCATTCTTTCCCCTCCACTCCTTTCTCTCCGGTGTTGCAAAAAATAACTGCCATCTAGGACCGCCGCCAGCACCAACCACAATAACCACTGGCCCACCGAGTTACCGTTTAGCAGGTGCCACAAGGAAGTCCCATCTTTCTCACTGAAAGGCTTCACCCGCGCCTAATTTGTCACTTTAGGGAAACAGATACAGGGACGGGCACCAACTTTCTCCCTAGTAGCAGGGGATGCTGGCTTAATGCTGGCTTAACAGATCCGGGGAAGAGCAGGGCTCCCGGGCCTAGCTTTGCCCCGCCGCTCTGGGGGTGCTGAGCATCCGCCCGGAATTGATGGGTCCAGAGTCCCCAGCAGTGGACATGGCCCTGGCGGACCATGCCATGCCGGACCCCGCCCCAGTCTGGGTCGCACACCCACCCGGCCTGTTCATGCCAATCCCAAAGAAAGCTCGGGTGCCCAGCGGCGAGAGGAGAGGCGGGGAGTACGGTGCGCCCGGGCTCCAGCTGGGAGACCCTACCCAGCCCTGTCCGCCCACTGCTGCGCCCCGCCGCGCTCTGTGGCTCAGGCTCCCAGACAAGGGGGACCTGCGCCCTCTCCCTCCCGGACCCGCCCAGCCTCCCGCAGCCGGGATCCGCACCCCGCCCCGCGCCACCGACCTGCCCTGCAGGGTCCCAGCGCTCGAGGCTCCGCCGACTGATGCCGGCCGCGCGCAAACCCTTCTCCCCAGCTCGCGGCCCACGGCTGTGCTTGGTCCTCAGCCCTCTGCGCGCTCCCGCCTCCTGGTTGCCAGGGCGACAGCCTTCACCTCCCCAGAAGCCGCTGATTGGTCCGGCTCGGGATCGCGGAGGATGCCTATTGGCGCGCTGTGGCCGAGGCCGCCACGGCTAGGCCCCGGGGAGGGCGGAGCGCTGAGCCTACGAGAAGGAGCCGGGGGCAGGCTGAGCCAAGAGGGACGTGGCGCTCTGAGACGTGAGCCGGGAGGCCGCGCCTCTTCCTTCTCCCGCTGTCCTGGAGAGGCTTGTGGAGCAGGACCTGGGGGTTGAGGTGTGGGGATCCCCAAGAACCCCAGGGACAGCTTGGCGCTTGGTCGCTGGCCTGCGCCTGCAGTGCTCACACCGATGGGAAAAGAAGTGGCATGCCCCTTTGGGGTCCAGAGCCCTCCTCTTTGGAGGGGAGTGGGACTGGTGTTCAACGGCATCCTACCTCGTTATCCTGAGCCCTGACTCGCTGTGGCTTGATTGTAGCTAAGCTCACTTTTATCTCACGCAAATTTTCAGGCATAGATTTCACTGCAGTCCCCATAGGACGGAGACATCTCCAAACATCTCATTTTAGCAAGGAAACTGAAGCTGATGCACATTCTTGGAGCCTCCAGGCTGGTGTTGAAACTTAAACTTCACTGAGCTTTAGGGTTTATTGTGTTTTTTTCCTTCACCTGAAAAACAAAATGATCTTAGGTTGTGTATTAGGTTGTATAAGATCTCAATGCTGCAACAAAATGCATGGTGAAAACAGCTCAAGGAAGGAAGGGTGTCTTTGGGCCCACAGGTGTGGCAGGTTGAGAGTATCTGGTTACAATGCCTCCCAATCAGGAAGCAGAGAAAGATGGGTAGGGAATGCTTAGCTTTCTCCTTTTGGCAGGAAGTGACCCCAGCCCATGGAATGTTGCTCTATAAAAAAAAGTTCAGGAATTCCCAAGCCCCTTTATATAAAATGGCAAAGTGCCAGGTGTGGTGGCTCACACACCTGTAATCCCATTGTGTGGGAGGCTGAGGTAGGCAGATTACTACAACTTTAGGCCAGTTTGGGCTACATAGTGAGTTCCAGAGACCAGCCTGGGCTACAGAGTGAGAACTTGTCCCAGAAAAACATCCAGCAAAGTATGATGGCATGTGCCTGTAATCTCAGCACTGGAGAGGGAGAGGCAGGAGGATCAGGAGTGCAAGGTTATCCTTGGCTACATAGAACACTTGAGGCCAGCCTGGGCTACAAGACATCCTATCTCAAAATAAATTGTTGTTAATGGAATAGTATTTGCATATAATTTGTGCACATCTTCTCACATACTTTAAAATCATCTCTAATACTTAACATCACACACACTCGTACATAATTGTACTCTCTAACCAGATGTGCCATTTCCATGGTGCTTCATATAAATAGTTATCTAGGGAACAAAGACAAGTCCATGCATGTTCAGTCCAGATGTAGTTTTTCCCTGATGTTTTCCATCCACAGTTGGTTGGATCCACAGGTGTAGATCCCAGAGATATAGAGGAAGGCCAACTGTAATGGAAGCCTCTCTTCTCAAGATGTCAGGTGCTGGTGGCTACATGGACCACCATGGAGCCAGACCTCTACTCTTACAACAGTCTACAAGCCTCTAACTACATGCCTTGGGGCAAGTCATCAAAGTGCTCTGTGCTTCCATTTCCTTGTGTGTAAAACAGGGACAAAAGTAGCAGCCTCCCACTTACAGCACGGCAGAGTAATAGGAAAGTGTTCAATAAATGTAGCCGTTCTTGGATTGGTGGCTACACGAAGACTAGACTCTGGTTTCTAGATCTTGACTCTTAAGCCCCTTTCATCTACTTAGTATCTCAAGGTCAAGCTTTTTTTTTTTTTTAAGTTTCAGAGGATACTTAAATGAGTCCTAGTCTACTCTAGGGGACAGGTTGGAAGTGATGGCACTTGAGAAAGACAGATTATGGAGTAGGGACACTAAATTTTAACCTGAAAAATATAGGAAATACTAGCTATTTATTAGGTATCATTAACAACTATGTTAGACTGGAGCCAATATCACATCCCAACACTGGAAAATACTAGACTTGGTGAGCATGGAGGTGCACACCTGTAATCTCAGTAGTTGGTGGGGGAAACAAGAAGGTCAGGAGTTCAGGGTCATCCTCAGCTACATAGAGAGATCAAGGCCAGCCTGGACAATGTAAGACTATGTCTTAACAAAAAAAAATGAAAAACCAAAAAAAAAGAACATACCAGACTGTAAGCACACTGAAGGCAGGAACTGCCTTGAGCAGTTTTTTTTATCTATTTTCTAGCACAGGGACAAACCCAGTGTCTGAATGAGGCACAAAACTTGGGTACAGCTCTGTCAAGGGCAGACCTTAAGGACCCTGGTGGGTGATTCATAGAAATCCAATGGAGATGAACAAAATCTGGGGAATGAGTGCATAGGATTTATCCAATGATGTAAGAGAAGGAAGTGGATCATGAACAGGAACATGGTGAGTAAGATGAGGGCATTCTTCTGGGATGAAGGACCGAGAAAACAAGAAAAACACGATGAACAATGAATAAGCAGCAAGATGCAGGATTAGGAGACAGCTGAGGAAAATATTTCAGAAAGTCAGGTGCAGAAAGAGCCTGGAGTGTTTGCCCATGCCAGTAATCTAAGCACTTGGAAGACTGAGGCAAGAGGATCACTTTCAGTTTAAGGTCAGTCTGGGCAACAGTGTGAGACCTATCTCAAACTCTCCCCCAAAACAACACATAAAAGCAAAGGAGACCAGTTATTTTCCATTTTGTATTTTTATTTTATGTGTATGGCTGTTTTGCCTACATGGATGTAAGTGCACCATGTGCATGCAATGCCTGCAGAGGCCAGAAGAGGGCACTGGATCCCCTGGATCAGCGTTACAGACACTTGTTAGCTGCCATGTAGGTGCTGGAAACTGATCTGGGGTTCTCTGGAAGAACAGCTGGTTCTCTTAACCAATGAGCTATAGCTTCAGCCCTGGGAAAGTAATTCTTGTAATAATAAAAATTGGGCCAGGTGTGGTGGCACACTCCTTTAGTCCCAGCACTAGGGAGGCAGAGGCAGGTGGATCTCTGTGAGTTCAAGTTCAGCCTGGTCTACATAGTGAGTTCCAGGTC